ATTACAAGATGAGGTGGTTGTAACACAGTCTAAATTAATCCAGGAGACATCTGGGTTTGTTTGTGAAAGTGAAGGAGATTGAGGAGTATAGACTAAAGCAGAAAAGGATTTAAGAACTGGAGAGAGCAACCATGTTGGACAGGATGGTCTTTTCTGGGTAAATTTCTTGTGTTCTTATGGATCTTGGAAGTTGTGACCGGTGCCCCAGGGGCGGCCACACTGAGATTGCTTAATTAGGGCAAATTGCAAAGAATGGGGCAGACAATCCCCAAAACTGATGGTTATTCTAATACTTAGATTCACTGAGCCAGCAACAGAAAAGCTTCTACAATACCTTACTGGTTACCCAGAAGCCAGAAATACAGTTCTCTTAAAGCAACCCAGCTTTGAGCTTCCACCCAGACAGCTTAGTCAAATATGATGAGGATTAGTGAAAACCTTTTTCATCGTATATAAAAAGTGTTTTCAGGTCAATGAATATTTCAGATCTTACCCAAATACACATTTACAGCCAATTCTTATTAACTAAACTAAAATTTATTAAAAAAGAAAAGAGAGTGAGTACTGGTTAAAAGATCATTATACATACAGATATGAATAAAGTTCTAAGGTCAGTTCATAGTAGAGATGGTGAGCTTCAGAGTTGTAAAAAGTTCTTTCAGAATTAGTTCTATAAGTTATAGTCCAATGTCAGGGTGACCCAGTTTGGAGCTGGGGACCTCAGTCTTGCAACTCAAACTTCCCCGATGAAGCTTAAGCAGATCTGAGATGATAGGATCAGGGTCTAGGGTTCTTTTTATAGTTATCTAGCAGCCTCTTGACAGCGTGCAGTCCTTGGGTGAACAATAGTGTCTTCGACGTAACCTCCTATGTCCTAAGAACCACCAGTGATTAGCTTCATGGATTAATAAAAGGCAATTGCCCATCTCCTACCATTGAAGTTTGTAGAAACTACCTGTAAAAGAGAAATAAAGTCAATGATATTACACATTCACAGTTTACCTAAATATTAACATATCCTTTTGATCTTTGAATTAACAGAATACAGGGATAGACAGGAACCATTTGGTTACACTGTCAACCTCAAACACAATCATTATCTACTAATATGTCTCTAAAGGTTGAATCTGGGTCAATTAGCCTGCTAGTTGTGTAACCCTTTCTGGCCCTATGTCACAGAAATGTTCTGGAATAGAGGAACACGGAAGGGAGGAGAAGTATGACTAATGAAGCATAGAGGAAGCTCCAACTGTAAATACATTTTTAGGGCTGACTCAAGATCGGTTTTACTTATGAAAGGAAAAGCCTGGGAAGACCCTGCACTACTATAACCCATTTAGTCACAGTGGAAGAAGTAAAAGGGCTGGTTAAAAAACTAAATGCTTGTGAAAAAAGGATGAAAGAAACAGCAGCTGCACCCCAAAGGGAGGGGACAAGATAGGAAATAGGCTGTAAAAGAGTGAAGGCAATTTTTTTGTTTTGATGGCCCACCAAACCTTTCATCATCCATGTAAGCTTAATATTATAGTGCCCCTCCATCTAGCAAGGAGAATTGGGGTGATGTTTTCTCAAACTTGTTAGGACTGCTTCTTCAGTCAGAAAGAGAGGATGCTAAAGAATGGCACCACTCATCTACTAGTATATAAGTTAAAATAAAACTCAGTCACTATAGTGTTTCAATGTCTAGGTAGTTCCTCCTTCCTTCCAGGGTCTAACTGTGCAGCTTCTGCAAGACACCTTGAGTAGCTTGTCTTCCTTTCACTCTTGCCAGGGGTGAAAGTAAAATTAAGCTCTTACCGGTATGGGGCTAGCTCTGCCCCCTGCTGCCCAGGAAGGGGTGGGGCCTTGGGTGGAAGAGGTTGGGCTGCACTGCCTGGCCCGCGCCACTTGGGGCTCCAGTGGCGATTTAAAGAGCCCGGGACTCCGGCCGCGGTAGCAGCAACCGGAGCCCCGGGCCCTTTTAAATCGCGGCCCCGGGGGGCGCAAAACGGGCAACGACATTAACACGCTGCCGTGGCAGCGCTTTAAAGTCAGTGGTACGGGCCGGTACCGGCGGCCACTTTTTACCGGTACACTGTACCGGCCCGTACCACCTTACTTTCATCCCTGACTCCTGCACAACATGCCCTGAAAAAATCATGATGGTCCCAGAAATCCAATCTTGGAACAGTTGGTGACCTCCTTGCTCCTCAGTCTTAACTAAAATTCACTGTATGGGCTAATGGTTCAAGTTTGTCTTCCTTTGATCTGCTACAAAAATGAAAGGTCAATTAACTTTTTTTCTTCAAATGCTTGCAATCATATGATTTCCTTATTTAAAACAGAGCACCATTGTACAGAAGTCTCATGCCTAAACTGAGTACTTTACATTTCTGTACTGATGCATCACAATCTCTCTGTGTTTTCCAACCACTTGAAAAAAGATATATATATTTTTTAATATCAAAGTTAATAAAGTTTTTTTTCCCTAAATGTGCTTTCTACAAACTAATTGAAAGTAACTAATTTAAGTTACAGGAAACTATTTTAATTGAGAGTGGATTTACATTGTAGAAAAATATTCTCTCCATCGGAGGAGGGCCTTATCACTGGACTTGACTTGGCATGCTCTGTCACAGATTCACTCTGTGAATGTGGGAAGTCATGTCATTTTTCTAAAATCCCCAGTTGTAAAATGGGAAGGATAATGCTTCCCATCTCCCATCCTTTGTCTGTTTATGACCAGACCTTCCAAGGGAGCTAGTTAGGTTCCTGTCTTTGATGAAGCTCCATACAGGTGTAGGGATCTGCCTGTGAGGAACAGCGTCCAGGTTTGCTGTTTTAGATTGTAAGCCATTTCAGGCAGGGAATGTCTCTGACTTAGGCCTGGTCTACACTGCGGTGGGGATCGACCTAAGATACGCAACTTCAGCTACGAGAATAGCATAGCTGAAGTCGACATATCTTAGTTCGACTTATCTCGCGTCCTCAGGGCGCGGGATCGACTGCCACCGCTCCCCCGTCCACCACTTCCGCCTCTCGCCGCGGTGGAGTTCTGGAGTCGATGGCAGAGCGATCGGGGATCGATTTATAGCTTCTACACTAGATGCGATAAATCAATCCCCGATAGATCGATCACTACCCGCCGATCTGGGTAGTGAAGACGTACCCTATGTGTTTCTAAAACATGTACACAATGGAGCCCTCATCTTGGTTGGGGTCTCTGGAGGGCCCTATAATACGATTACAAAGAATTGTGGGTGATGCTTGGAATTGATATGACCACAGATACGTTTTGTTTAGATAGGGTTACCATACGTCCGGATTTTCCCGGACATGTCCCGCTTTTTGGGCCTCAAATCCCCGTCCGGGGGGAAATCCCCAAAAGCCGAACATGTCCGGGAAAATAGGGACATGCGGGGCGGGGGGTGCTGGGCCGGGGGGCCGGGCCGGGCCCAGAGGTGCGGGGCCGGGGGTGCTGGGCCGGGGACCGGGGTGCTGGGCCGGGGGCCGAGGGCTGGGCCGGCGGTGCTGGGCTGGGGGCCAGGCTGGCGGTGCTGGGCCGGGGGCCAGCGGTGCTGGGCCGGCTGGGGGTGCTCGGCCGGGGGCTGGCCCGGGGGCAGCACCCCAGGGCCCGAGCCGAGCCAGGCTGGAGACGCCGGGGCCGGGGCCAGAGGGAGCCGCTCGGTTGGGGGGGGGGCAGACTGGGCCGTGCCTCCTCCCCCCACACCCCTCCAGCTTACCTGCTGCCTGCTTCTGGCTTCCCGCGAATCAAATGTTCGCGGGAAGCAGGGGATGGGGCGGAGTTGAGGCGGGGACTTTGGGGAAGGGGTGGAGTTGGGGCAGGGGGCAAGGGCGGGGCTGGGGGCGGGGCCGGGGCCCCGTGGAGTGTCCTCTTTTTGGACACTCAAAATATGGTAACCCTAGTTTAGACATAGTGGGTCAAACACTGTTTTTTGTCTATATAGTGTAAATCTTACACCAGTATTTTGGCCCAGCCTGTTAATAAAGTAATTAATTTGTTATTAAAATATGTCTATAATAATATTATATCTTAGTTACATCTTCACAGAGTTTTTAAATTTTTGTTATAGTATTTAGGGTTATATTTTCATCATGAAGACTGTTACTGGATCTAAATTAAATACGGAAACTTTAATTTTATGCATAACAAAGTTATGATGGAGAGGAAAGCAAGGGAATAAACTGTATTTAATGCCTACAATATCACAAATAGTATGGCACTTTCTAGTTCTTATGGTCTAGCAATATGTTAAGATTCAGCTTCCTTTACTGCAAAGCAGGAAACCAAAAAAGGAAGGGTGAAGCACTTGATTTTCTGGCAAGAGAAAAAACAATACCTATTTGTTTGACTCTATACCTGCTGTATCCTGGGTAACTACATTCATTAAAAGAGGCTACTGAACATATTTCAGGTCTGAAGCAGGGTTCCATGGACCCAGCTGAAGGCACACTGAGGATTGCATGGAGTGGGAGCCAGTAATTCATAGTAGATCTGGAAATTATAGACTTTAAAACAGCAGAGTGGCTTTGCAGTATAGTACAGCAGGGGTGGACATGTAGACAATTGGCCAGAGAAGTAGTACCAATAACAGGCTTCATATCTGGATAGATATCCACAGTGTATCAAGGAATAAATGGCTGTATCTGCTTTGATTCTTTCTTTCCCTCCCCATTTATGTTAGTAATTGTTTATTTATTATTATATTTTATATATATGCAACTTATATTTGCATAAAAAGAAGCTAATCTGTGATAAACTTACATATTCACTGGGTACTTGATTTTAGGTCAAATCTTTGTCCCATTGAAGTCAATGGCTAAACAGGCCAGATTGACAAAAGGACCGTCACATCTCTCTGTACATTTCCAAGAGTATATTGTGTTGACATGCTGTTGAGAATAGAAATACCTCCAAAAATTATGGCCCATAAGGGGAGGGCATTTTAGAGTATTGTTGAATAATTTTGTCACATGTTCTTCTCTTGTCTGATTTTCAGCAAAAACTGTTATCACCGGTCAAAAAGTCACCAACCTTGATCCATTCTGATTTATCAGCTGTTTATGCTACTATAGTTTTGAACAAGACAGTTTTGTTTTTGGGAACAAAAGATGGACAGTTACTGAAGGTTAGTGGAATGTGGGATTTTTTTCCTAATCAATGTGCTTTAATGAGTAAATGTTTCCCGTGTTCTATTTTATACATTATATTGTAAATTAACATCATCATCTGGATATCTCTATATTCTGTTTTGTTTGCATTTTAAAGAACTTTAGTATTGTTACTTTCACTTTCTAAACATTCAAATGCACAATTATTGGTTTACAGTCCCTTGGTGACAGAGGAACACAGAGAACAAAATAACATCCAGATGAGATTATATGTCCTGCTTAAAATCCACAAATATATTTAACCAATTAAATAATACCTATAGTCCTTAATTTATTGTTTGTACCACATTTAGTTAGTCTGTGTTTACCAGTGGATACCAAATATTATTAGATTTCTCTAGTTGTTTTTAAAAAAACACTTCTGTGTGTGGTTATCTGTCCATTAGGAACCAAGACCAGACTCATTTTATTAAGGCTACTGAACAGTTGACCTTTGCCTGTTTTGAATCAAAAACTTAGAAATGAAAGGCTTCCATCTCACTGTCAAACCCTGGAGGCAACTCTCTTTTATTTTAGATTTTTCCCCCCAGAGTTCTGTAACAGTGCATTTCCTGTCTACACTGCAAAAGATGACTTTTTGTTTTTATTAAGCAGACAGCTGGAGTAGAGTAGAATACACTATGAAAAACTTTCTCCTGTTTGTTTCCAGGGTGCTGGAGACCAATTTTTGATAATTAAATAAAACTGAAGGCTTTCATGTTTCTATAGCTCAGTGGAGACCATGAACACGTCTCTGTTGCTTAGCCTTGTTTGTGGAAATAAGAAAATAAACTCAGGGCAAATTTTGTACTGATGTTAGTTTGCTGATTAATATAAACATTAAAATATCTTTGGATCCCCTACTCCTTTTACTTTTGTGAGAGAAGAGGCATAGAAACTTGTGGATTTGGGTTGGGTGAGATGGAAGAGGAATAGCAACTCACAAGCTATCCTCTCATCAACCCCAGAAGCCCCAGGGCAAAGCAACTCCTGTTACTGGAGGCAGAGTCAGCAATAACTTGTGTAGGTTCCTTTTCATGCTGTGGAAACTCCCCCTTGAGGGGTGGTCCTGGGAAGCAGAGGTCTGGGGAGCCAAGTCCCGTACAGCATTACTCAGACAAGAGCTGTACTGTCAAGGGGCTACAGGGAGTATTGGGATTTGGGTGGCAGTGTGGAAGCATGGAGCCTCTACCCAGATAGTCTTTGCCTCTGGGAGTACCCATGGATTTAGGGGGCTGAACCTCTGCCATGAAGCAGGGTAGGGGCCACTCTCCATCTTCTGAGAGAAGAAGGCATAAGATCGGTCTACGTTAGTGGTCCCCAAACTGTGGGGCGCACCCCCATAATGGGGTGTGGTGGAACATTTAGGGGGGGGGGTGGGACCACCCAGCCATGCTCTGCCCCCAGCTCTGCTCTGGCCCCACCCCCAGCTGTGGTCCCAGCTGCTGGCTGAGACTCTGCCCCTGGTTCTGCCCTCAGCCTCGGCCCCTGGCCTGGCCGCAACTCCACGTGCGGCTCCTGCTGCCAGCCCAACTGCTGCATGGCCAAGGCTCCGCTCCCAGCCCTGGCCCCACTCCCAGCTCCAGCCCTGGCCCTAGCCTCGGCCCCTGGCTCCCAGCCCAGCTGCAGCTCTGGCCTGAGCCTTCTCCCTTATCCCTATCTTCGCCCTCCTTCCCCTGGGAGCCACGACTCAGCCCCAGGTATGTCTCCTGGGCATGGACAGGTAAGGAGCGGCCTGATGTGAAAAGTTTGGGGACCACTGGTCTACATCTTAGACCTTAGTTCGTACTATAGACCCCTTCACCCTCCACTCTATCGATAGAAATTGTTACATACTTCATATCATATGGGCATATCTCTCTCTTCCTCCTCGTTTGATGTTGATTTCAGTTAGTTACTTAATACTGATAAAAATTACATTACTTACCCTACTCCAAGATCCAGATTCAGTACAAAATATATCTAGTTTCTATGCTACAGAAAATATGATCTGATGTTCTTGTCCTCCAACTTTCTGAATTATGAGAACCAGACACATTCTAAAGAAATCAGATCACAATAAGTCCTCTAAGTGGTCTAATGATGTAGCCACTGTCAGAGCATGGAAAGGATTTATGATTAAAATATTAACTGTCTTCTTGTTAATTAAGGGGTTTAGTGGATAATTTTACATCTCATGTTTTTAGGCTATTCTTAACGACAATATGGAACCGAACTGCCCAGAGATTTTGTATGAAATTGAAGAAGAATCTTCTGTTTTTCCCAAACTTGTACTTGACCCAGTGGATAGTGACTACATATATCTGGCATTTGCTAACAAGGTTGGTACAATACTAGATAAAATGATTAAATGATTAACTGCTATCTTGAACACTTTAATACATTTTCTGTTATTGTATAAGTAGAGCTTTTCAACTGAATTACAATCAAACCTTGATTATCCAAACTGCAGTTAACCAAAGCTTGGCTGCATCCCCCAAAGTTTCGCTTTAGACCTGCAGAGCTCATAATAGGCACTTAAACCCATGATGACTTTTATGTTCTCCCATTGAGGGAGTACTCATATGATTAAAGTTAAACACATGGTTAAGTGTTCTGCTGGATTGAGACTAGAGTGTTTGAACCAGTCACGACTGAACACAAGCTGCATAGAAGACCTGCTGATGAACAAGTCTCATAAACACTGTGGGAACAAAGTGCTGAGCCAGTGGGCTAGTTCTCTATAAAGTGCGGCGTTTGGTAGCAGGCATTGCAGTCAGTACTATTGAATTATGTTAACTCGAGATATGGGTTTGAAATCCTGGCCTTATTGAAGTCAATGGCAAAACTGCCATTAATTTTGGTGGGGCAGGATTTCACCCATGACCTTTATACCTTCCCTTACGATAAAGTCTCTTCAGTGCCAGTGAAAATCATATTTTTACCCTAAAATCTAGCAGAATGATTACAAATTGTTATAGACACCCCTTGACTTTCAAGGATGGAGAATCTCAAAGTGCAAAAGTTTACTGTTCTAAAAATAGGTCTAGATCTTTAGAAGAAAGAGCCTGATGTTCTTTAGTCTTGTTGGAAGAGCAAATTACTATGGAGAAACATTTAGGAATAAATACCTCTCCAAAACCTTGCTTAGGGGCTTAGCAAGATCTTTCATAAAAGGAGACTTCTGATCCTGAGTACAGACTTAAGTTTGTTAGTAAATTCCCCTAATGATCTGATCCTCTAATTATTTCAGACACCTTCAAATAAATTGGGTTCTTTTGTATATATTTCGAATAAGAGTTGATCGAGGGCCTGAGCAAAACCACAATAAACAAAAACAAACAATCTTAATGCCTGCAATACCATTTATAAGCAAATATTTTGAATCAGGAAAAAGTTTAGCATTTATAAATAATGTTCATAGTTTTCATTTAAATTATTTCATATTGAAAATGGTTAATTGGAATATTAGAGACAAATTTTCAAATATACATGCATCCACAATAACCTGTTTTTGCACACTAAAATGGAATTTTGAACACGTTTCATAATTCCATGCATTTGTACCAGTTTGCATGTGTAGTTACCCAATGCATACATGCAAATATCTATTTGCATGCAGAGATGCATTTTTTGCACATGCATTTTTGGATGCACACTCATTGCAACATTCAAAAATTTGATTTTTAAGAGGCAAAAATCCATTCTCTGCTAAACTAGAAGATTCATCATAAACATGCCCCTTTCTATTCTACATAATTCACTATGCTACTCCAGTATTTCTCCCGTATCCACTTATGGTAACATGGGATTTTTCAGAAGTTAGAACCTAATAGCTAGTTTTCCAGACTAAAATTTACCTTACTTTACGAGTTAACTAATGAGAAAACTTCATAGATATCCAGTGGATATCTATTTTTTTTAAGTACATCACTTGCTTGCTGTAGATTTTTTTAAAGGCAAAGAATAAACATTCATTTTATGAGGTTCATGAAAAACTCAGGGCAAATTTTGTACTGATGTTAGTTTGCTGATTAGTATAAATATTAAAATATCTTTGGATCCCCTACTCCTTTTGCCCTTTTTGAGCAGAGCTAGTACGGTTCAGTGTAAGTTATTGCTTTCTGTATTTTTAGGTGAGAAGAATACAGGTTGCAAACTGCAATAAATATGGTTCCTGTAAAGAATGTTTATCTGCAAAGGATCCACACTGTGGATGGTGTCATTTAAGGAAAAGGTATTGTCTGATATTTTAGACTTTCATACAAAAACATAATTAAATGTTATTTTTTAATAATTCAGGGCTGTATTCAGAATATACTTAGGCCTGATGTACACTAGGAATTTATATCGATATAGCTATGTCTTTTAGAGGTGTGAAAAATTCACGCCCTGAGAGACATAGTCAAACTAGCCTTACCCTCCCCCCGTGTAGTCAGTGCTAGGGTGACAGAAAAATTCTTCTGTCAACCTAGATACCACCTCTTGTGGAGATGGATTACCTACACCAACAGGAGAACCTCTTCCATCGGTGTAGGTAATGTCTACACTGAAATGCTACTGTGGCTCAGCTGCAGCAATGCTGCTGTGCCACTGTAGTGTTTTAAGAGTAGACAAGCCCTAAGTGTGTCTTCAACTATAGGGAAATTTTTATGAAGCCCTCTAGCTATAAATATATGACATGTTTACTGTTACATGAGAAGGGGCTCCACGCCTTCCAGGGGCTGTGTTAACCTCTGGACATTTAGGATCTCCCAATGAAATTTATGTAGGACTGGTGAGAAGAGTGAATTCTTCTGTTTTAAAAAATCACTTGTTGTATTAAATCATGAACAGGTATCTAGAGACCCTCTTTTTAATGCTAGGCATATTTTGTATGTGAAAATATAAATAAAGTCCTGAATCTCCTTCAGCAGTTAGGGTTCATTGTATTAGAATTCTTGTCTGATTCTCTATGCAAAATGTTAGGAAGATTTTTCTTCTAGGTCAGTAGGGAACAACTTCCTAAGCATCTCCCATTTTTGCCATTAGTTTTGTTGCTTTGTTTGAAGCTGCATGGGCAGGTCTGGCAGACTGCTGTAAATTTTAATCCCATCCGGTTTGTTTTGCATTGATGTTAACAGACTGCTGTTGAAGACCCGGGCATAGGCGGATATTGGTGGAAAGTAATCAAGTATTTTTTAAGTTGTTTTATCCAAGTTGTCTTTTGCTGACCCAGAACAGAAGTTCCACCAAAACTATGTTGTTAATGGAGGATAGGTCCATCAGTATGGAGATTAGATCCGTCAATGGCTATTAGCCAAGATGGTCAGGGATGCAACCCCAGGCTCTGGGTGTCCTTAAATCTTTGATTGCCAGAAGCAGTGACTGGACAACAGGGAATGGATCACTCAGTATTTGCCCGGTTCTATTCATTGCCCATGCAGCATCTAGGATGGGCCACTACAGGGTACTGGGCTAGATGTGCCATTGGTCTGACCCAGCATGGCTGTTCCTGTTTTTATGTTCTTTTGTTATTTATGTTACCCTTATTGAGCTTTTCAGGTTTCCTGTGTGAGAAGTTACACATAGAATAGATGAGAGCTATTAATCAGTAAATCTCCTGTTAATGAAGGGGAGAGATCACCAAAAGTTTCCATCTGTTGGAGAGAAAGAAAATCTGCATTTTTAAGAAACTAAATTACTGTAATATGTAACTTACTTAACACCCACACGATTTTTCAATATTAATGTATTTGTTCTGGCAAATTGAGGATGAAAAGTGAATTTTTAGAAAAAGAGGTGGAGATGTTTTTAACAAATGTTTTTATTTAAGTTTCTACATATACACTAAAAACAATATACTCTGTAATACATCTTTATCATGTGCCAGAACTACACTTGTTGTTGTCAGTAGATATTGTTCTTTGTACAATAATTTATCCTTATCTGCTCTTTTACTTAAGGATAAATGTTTGTCTTAAATACACTTTCCCTTTATTTGAATAAAACTTATCATCTCCTGATTTGAAAGGGATAAAATTATCAGTATTGATTTAAATGATGGTGTTCTGATGTGAAAATATGTACATCTTGTCACATCTGTATACATGAAACAAAAAATTTTTTTTTCTACTTTTTCATTAAATAAGGGCTAGTGCATACATTCCCTTCAGTCTGTCAAAACTTTTAATAACAAAATAGAGCATTTCATCTGGATCTGTATTTAATTTCCACATGTAATTCTGTGCTTAACTGAAGTATGTTGGAATGAATCCAATTGGAGGTGCTAATATTTTTTATGCATTTCATATAGGAAAAGAATACAACCTTGCCTCCATATTTATACCTGCCTCTGGAAATTTCCATTACATGCATCTGACAAAGTGGGCATTCACCCACGAAAGCTTAGGCTCCAATACATCTGTTAGTCTTAAAGGTGCCACAGGACTCTCTTGCTTTTTACAGTTCCAGACTAACACGGCTACCCCTCTGATACTTAACACATCTGTGTTATTTTTCTTATTGAAGAGCAGCTTAATTTTCAAATGTACTGCGCACTTGCAGCTCCCCTTGATTTCAGTGGGAAATGAGTTGATCAGCACTTTGAAATCAGGCCACATTTCTTCAGAAAGGGCTGTGCTTTTGCACCAGGAAACCAGCATATTGCAGCAAGACGATAAAGAGATGAAGTACAGTAAACCAAAATGACTTTTTGGTTAACACAGTGGTAAACTAGGTGAAGGTCCTTTATTAACTTAATCATACAGTAATGAATCTGTACATCTAGATATAGTGCTCTTCATGGTATATGAATGAAGTGATGCACATTGTAAAAAGGGATCTTTAACAGAATAAATATTTTGCTTGCTGGTAAAGATGCGACAAATTCTCAATTCTGCATCTGTCTGTACACAAATTCATGCATTTTGCAAATCTCATTGTGAAATTAATTGCAAATACTTAAACTGGACCATGCCACCTTGACTCTGTCAAATCTGCCACTTGCTCTCAGCCATTTCCAGACTCTGTCCTTCTAAACTTACTCCCGTCTTCAAGATTCCCAGTCATTCACATCAATTTCTTTGTGTCCTCCCTTCCCTCCACGTCCCAGCTCCCTCATTTACAGTACCACTGATCCAGTCCCAGCTCTCTGCCTCCATCATGACTGGGCTCCAGATACCCTCACCTGCTCACTTCTAATGCATAGCTCTTTCCCTCCCTAGTAATTTTCTGAATCTGAATGCTGATAGCTGTTAACTGTCTGCCAGATACCAGTAGCCACTTGTAAGTACCCAACGGATCAAAAAAATTATGTGGCTTTGTTAGATCCTGTGACCACTCCTCACCACTGTGGCGCCTCCTCCTGGTCGTCTTGGGGAATTAGCTCAAACCAGTAGGGCGCCCCTTCGGGTGGCGTTCCGCCTGCGTTGGGTGCGTGGACTTGCGTCACCCTCAATGTACGGAGTCCTCTTCCGGAGCACTGTCCTCCGACAGTGTCCCTTTTGCCTCTTCACACCCCCTTCCGGGGGGGGGTGGTGTAAACAACAGCCCCACACCTTCGAGTCCGATCCTCACCATCCAGGACCAGGTGTGGTCCTGACCGGCCACTCCCTGCGGCCCGTGGCTGTGTGTGGGGTAGCACAGCAAACAAAAGGGGGGGAAACTCAGGCCCGCCCACTACTCTGAGTCCCGGTCCAGAGGCCCTCGGGTGACAGTCTCCCTGTCTTCCTTCTCTTTCCTCCTCTGACTATCCCTCTGGACCGCTTCCCCAACAGCCCTTCGCTATGTAGGCCTCCTCCTCCCAGGCCTGCCACCTAGCAGGCTATGGAGTAGGGCCTTCTCCCACTCTCTCAGGCTGGCCTGCACTGCGCTGTCCGTGGTGCTGGCCTCCCAGCTCTGGAGACAGACCTTCCCCTCTGAAGGCCTAGGACAGACTGACTGCTCCTGCTCTGGGCAGTCTTTTATATGGCTGAGGCGGGCCCTGATTGGCTGGCCCCAATCTGCCTTCTGATTGGCCCTCTGTAAGCCCTTCCCTGATTGGTTGGGCGGCTGCGCAGGCGCCTAGGCCTGCTGCAGCCCACCCTCTCTGGGTGTGGGGCAATCGCCCCACCACAGATCCCAATTTATTATTTATACAGTATGGGCTAAGGCCATGTCTACACTACAAACTGCAGTCATTGCAAGTTATGTCAATGTACAGTTGTCAAAGTTTATGAGTAAACTTGGCTGCTTGTGTTGGTGCTGTGTGTACTCACCAGGAGTACTTGTGTTTATGTAGTGTGGTGCACCACGGGTAGGTATCCCAGGTGGCCATTCACCCCCACCTGAGTCACTGCCTTTGGGGACATTTTCTCAGTGTTTTCTGGGATAGTAATGATTCGCCAGGCATTTTGGGAAGCTAGGTGTCAAGTTCCCAACATGCAAGTTTCTCCATTCCATAGTACCTTCCACGTTCCATAATTTGTATGACATTTTTTTAAAAATGCCACAAACTTGTGTGGTACTTTTCAGTGTCTGCTGTCTCTGACACAAGCAGGGAGCCCTCAGAGCTCAGCACTAGTCTCATGACCATTGCAAATAAAGAACGCTGACCTTCAGGAAGTACTGCAACAACCAAGATGAGGACGATGATGATGTCTCTGAGGAGAGTTTGTTGATGGACCTAGCAAAACAAAAGTTCCAGGTTGTTGGTGGTGTTCATGAGCAGCTGCAGATGGTGGAGCGCCACTTCTGGGCCCAAGAAACGAGCACTGACTGGTGGGATTGCATTGTAATGCAGGTATGGGATGATAAGCAGTGGCTGCAGAACTTTCAGATGCAAAAGGCCATGTTCCTGGATCTCTGTGCCAAGCTCTCCCCAGCCCTCCAGTGCAGAGACACCAGACTGAGAGATGCACCAACAGTAGAGAAGAGTGTGGTGATCATGCTCTGGAAGCTTGCAATACCAGATTGCTACTGTTCAGTGAGAAATCATTTTGGAGTTGGAAAATCCACAGTGGAGTCCATTGTTGTGCAAGTGTGTGGGGCTGTTAATTGTCTCCTGCTATGCAGGACTATGATTCTTGGCAATGTGCAAGAAATAGTGGATGGATTTGAAGCCATGGAATTCCCGAACTGTGGCGAGGTGATAGATGGAACACATATCCCTATTTTGGCACCAGCCTACTTTGCTAGTAAGTACACCAACAGAAAGGGCTACTTTACTATGGTAATACAAGTGCTAGTGGATCACCAGGGCTTCTTCATTGAAATCAATGCAGGCTGGTAAGGGAAGGTGCATAATGCTCTCATCTTTAAGAACACAGGATGGCTGAGAAAGCTGAATGCAGGGATATTCTATCCTGATCAGTGGATTACCTTTGGTGATGTGGAAATGCCTGTAGTGATTCTGGGGGACCTAGTCTACACCTTGCTCCCCTGCCTCATGAAGCCGTACACCGGCCACCTTGACAGCACCAAGGAAAGATTTAACTACAGGCTCAGTAGGTGCAGAATGACTGTGGAATGTTCTTTGGTAGATTGAAGGGTTGCTGGTGTTTTATTCACTAGTCTCAGCGAGGAAAAAATCCCAGTGGTTATAGCTGCATGTTGTATAGGCATCATATACGTGAGGCAAAGAGAGAAAAGCTGCCACCAGGATGGAGGGGCAAGGTGGAGTGGCTGTCTGCTAGTTTGAACAACCTGACACCAGGGCTGTTACAGGAGCCCAATGTGGAGCTATACATTTGAGGGAGGCTTTAAAGATTCCTTTTTACAGTTAGCCACATTAGCGTTCTCTCTTGCTGTCTTGAGAGAGTATCTCTCTTCTATAGTTTAAAGTATGTATTGTTTTGGTTTTTGCCTCCTGGCATCTATTCCCTTGTGCCTGCTGCAAAATAATAAATACTACTGTGCCTGTGGCTTTCCCTGCCACTAGGAGTTGTGTGGTGCTTGCTGTACCTTTATAAATATGGCTGGGTGTTTTCTGACACTCTCTGAATTCTGGGGTGCGTGAAGTGCAGTTGTAAGAACTGTTTGATTTCTTAACTGCCAATATGCATTCTGTAATATTTGGTGTGAAACTAATAAAGATACTCTGATTCTCCGAAAATAGAACTTTGCTGAGTGAGCTGCCGGGTGTGTTCGTCAAGTTAGGCAACTAGGAAAGGGCATTTCAAAAATGGGGGGGGGGGGGTTCAAGGAGGGAAGGGGGCAGGCTTCTGGTCTCTTTCATCCTTGGGCAGTGGAATTTAATATTATGAGAAGAGCAATCACTGTCGCAGGGAGAGGGGCATTGTGGGACAGTAGCGGGAGGACTCTTAGGGTTGACTCAGGTCGTGCAGTGTCCACACTCTCACTGCATCAGTCAGAGTAGGTTGATCATGGCTCTGCACCGTTCAGAGAGGTGGTTTTACTACATTGCCGTAATGGGATTCTTACTTTGGCTGGAGTCAAATTTGAGTGTAGACGTGCATAAACAGGTCGAGGCAAGGCGACTTATGTTGAGTTAACATTGTAGTGTAGACCAGGCCTAAGGATAGGGATATAACAAGATCATCTCACCCTTAAGTAAGTGTGCTTTACCAACATGTCAAGCATCATTTCAGTTGGTACTGGGGAGTAATAAGAACTTGGTGTGATGGGGCTCTGTGTGTTACACCTTTCCATTGTCACTGTTTCCTATAAAATCACCTTTCCTTTTAGTATTGTGCATGAGCATTAAAGGCCACCTTTGGGGCAGAGAAGGACACATTGTCCAGGGCCTGAAACAAACAGAACTCAGGAAATATCGTTTCTTGGTTTTGCCATGTAGGTGTTAGAATTTTCTTATTTAAATCACATAAATTAGATATTCTGATAATCTAGAAGAAAGTTTTTCATTCTCGACCCTTCAGGCAAATATCTTTGCCCTGGATATAATTTAAGAGATTCAGTCTTAAACTCATCTCTGTCTTTCTGCTAATATTGCTGAAGTTAGTCTGTCTCCCTGTTTATAAACTGCAAGATACAATAGATACAGAGCTTTGCATTCCTTCTTTCTTTAACACTGAGCACCTTTGATCAAACTTCTCACTCAGTGGGTCTAATGTTACTCTCCTGTGCACCTGTGTGATCCTACTGAAGTCAGTATGGTTGCAAGAGTGTACATGAGAGCTGAATTTGTCCCATTTAGTTCAACTGAAACCTTGTCAACCACATTGTTAGTTTCTTGCAGTAAGGTTAGGATCTGAGCATTGTCTGTGAGGGCCTCAGCAGGTTCTGGTGCAATAGGAATTCAGTATCAGAGGGGTAGCCGTGTTAGTCTGAATCTGTAAAAAGCAACAGAGGGTCCTGTGGCACCTTTGAGACTAACAGATGCCTCTGAAGAAGTGAGGTTCTTACCCACGAAAGCTTATGCTCCCAGTACTTCTGTTAGTCTCAAAGGTGCCACAGGACCCTCTGTTGCTTTTTAATAGGAATTCAGTTTCCTGAGTTAGAGCACACAGAAAGTGGCCACTTGCTAGATTCTATTTGTGCTGCCAACATCTTGATTTTTAGGCACCTTGGGTGGGAGCGGGGGTGTTCTGCAGTCTTTTATTCATTTATCCTTTTAGGATAATTCACTGTTTGTCTAAACATACTTTCATATAGTGATCCCTGAAAAATCCCATTGAATCCCCTGTCAGGATCTGTTACTTGAGGAATTTTATTAATTAAAGCCCCAAACATGCTTAATTGTAGGTACTTGAGTAGTTCCATTTAAGTAAAGTTAATCATACACATAAGTGTTTTCGGGATTGAGGCATCATGTTTTTCATTCCACATGGTTCAAACAAACCAGTTTTGAATAGTTTTGTTATTATTTGCCTCCTGGAAATGAATGCTTTATTAAAATATTTCAAAAATTCCTAGTTGCTCCATGGTCTTCTGTCCAAACATACTTCTGTGCAGTCTGATTTACAGTGTATATTTTCTACAACAGTTTGATATTAATTGAACTTCATGTGCCTACCCCTCCCACCTCTGATTTAATTTATACTTTAATGCTAGCAAAATATATTTTGCTATACCTTGTCAGAGACAGGGGTCTGATCCAAAGCCCATTAGAGTCAGTGGGAAGAGTCTCATTGGCATCAGTGGGCTTTGGACCAGACTTGAGGCCCCCTAAGACCATCTTAACTCAGATGTGTAAGTGCATTTCTAAACAAAGTCCCATTGACTTCAGAATACTTTGCTGAATCAGGGCCTAAATGCATAAATGACTACGCTGTGTATTTATTTCGAAATGCTAAATACGACTAGAAGATTTGTCTGACTGTTTTCCTATAGCTTTTTGTGGTAGCAGACGGGTTCCTGTTAAAAATCAGTCAGATACTGAATAAATTACAGCACTGCATCTGGTACTGAAGCTAGTATAAAGAAGTATTGACTAGTGAAATTTTGTGTGTGTATATGTGGTATTATTTTTAGGTGCACTTTAAAAGGAGATTGTTCACATTCAGATAACTCAAGGGACTGGGTTAACATTTCACATGAAGCTGATGAATGCCTTACAATCCAGATACGTCTCACTGGTAGAAACGAGGTATGTAAAAACAGTTTTATGTGTATTTGTTTGTCATTTTAAATGTGCTATTGCATCACTTACAGTAACTTTCCTCTTTTGGTCAGTACACTCCATAAACCAGCACCTGTTCATCTCAAAAACTGAAATATAGTGGATACTCTAACTGGGTGAATTTATAGATATGATAGATGCTCCCCTTATACCTCTTCTCTTCTCAGCCATAAGATGGGACATAAGGCCTTGCTTTATTGTGCTGACTCAGTACTTCATTATGCTGCCCAAGGGAGTGATTTAGTTATATTGTGACTTTATCACTTACGTTGTCCAGGGAGTATTTATGAAATGCACTAACTGGATTCCAGGTTTTATAAGAAGTCAGACTACAAGGCAGCATATGCACACAAATACAAACATGATCTTTGAGACCGTGACACTAGTGTTTGCAAAAATATTGAAATGAAAATGAATAGAGAAAAAAAAATCACAGGATCCTAGGAATGAGAAATGGAATATATGTACAGATGGAAGCCCACAGAGAACTTAATAGGGATGAAATCAGTAAGATTCTATAGAAATTGCTCTAATAATTGATATATAATAATATTAATACCTAGCCCTTGGATAGTGCTTTTTGTCAGTAAATCTGAATGCTTTACAAAAGAGGTAAGCATTGATATCCCATGCGGGGAAACTGAGGCACAGAGAGGTGACGTGACTTGCCCAAGGTCACCAGCAGGCCAATGGTCAAACTGGGAAGAGAGCCTAGGTCTCCTGAGTCCCAGCCCAGTGCTCTGTGCACTACAGAGTTATTTTTAAAATTCTATAGGAGTTCAAAAAGAGTCCTCCTGTTAGCACAAAAAAAAGAATATGTACTGTGGAGTCTAGTTTTATATATGCATACCAGTGCAGCTTTTGCTCCTTCTGTAGTAGATCTCACTTTTAGAATTTTTTTTCTGGGGTTCAGTCTCAATAGTCTTAATTTCATCCCTTTATATTGATATATCCCCTGTACCCTCTTAAATACTTCTATCTCCTCGTTGATCGCATCCTTTAAATCATTGTAGGCTGGTTTCATGTCCCCCAGCTTAATTGTTTCTTTGCCAGCCTATTCATCTTTACCTCTGTTAATCTTTCCTCATACATCAGTCACTCTAGCATCATGATTGTTTTTGCTTCTCTTTTCTATATTCCCTCCATTTCTGAGACATGTTTCTGGCAATAAGAAAAAGATAGAAATATGTTTGCTAAACCCCATGAGGCCTAAAGCTGTTTATAGCTTATTCAGATGCAAGTGTCACTCTTACTGCTCCTGCCACCATTACAAGTGTCCCACCTGCAATCAGCACTACCACTATCACCTGACCAATTATGCTTGACTTGAGTGGGGTAAACAATTCATATTGATTAATATATTGGGCAAACCCAGTCCCTTTGTCCTTTGGAGAATTGTCCATGAACAGATTGCATTTTGTACTAATTTGCTCACTCTCTGAGATTGTTTGGAGTCTCTTGCAAACAAAATTCGGTTTATGGGTTTGCTCATTATCTGTTCACCACAAGTATTGCTTTGAGTATTCATTTTTTGAGCTTTGTGGTTGGCCACCCAATTTGTATGATATTGATTTTGTTTCTTGATTGCATGAGCTAACATTTATAAATTACTTCCAACCAATTTAGTACAAAACAGATTTTATATTGTAATTAAATGCATTTTGGATATAGACCCAAAAGTTAACTTTCCATGAACATTTATACAGACCTGCACAAATATTTGTGAAAAGGGAATATAAAGGAGCATAACACTGTCAAAGCAAAATTCAATTAAACAGTTGTGAAAATATTCAAAAATACTTTTTCTCTCTTTTCACACACCTCTGATTTTAACAAGTCAGTAGTGCAGTAGCTCTCATCAACATCTTTTTTGTCTCCTTCCCTGCTTGGAATTCCCTTTGACAGGCCTCTGGTGAATCTGTCTGCTTCAGACATGGTCGTTTTTCTCTGCACTTTATATAGTTTGAACTTGTGTGAAGACAGAAAGGCAATTTAATAAATATTGCAAGTAATCAATTGTATTTTTACTTTTTTTTTTTAGATTGTTGTGACTGCAATTGGACATGTTTCAGCAGTCTCCAAAGGACACTTTGTTTGTATTGTGAAAGAGACAAAAACCGACCAAGTACTTTGTAAAAAGGAAGAGCCACAAATCATGAACTGTTCTTGCAAGCTAAATAATTCAGCACTAAGCAACAGGGGTATGTTTATTGAACATCCACATGTTAAATACTTATTCATTATCCTTTATAACTGATTAAAACCAACAGTGAATACCTGCCCAGTGAGTGTAAGATGTAGATCAGTGGTCTCCAATCTTTTTACTCACAAGATCCCTTATTGAATTTAAAATCAACCCAGGATCTGCCCCGCTCCTTCCCCAAGGCCCCTCCCCGCTCACTCCATTCCCCCCATCCTCCGTCGCTCGCTCTCCCCCACCCTCACTCACTTTCACTGGGCTGGGGCATGGGTTGGGGTGTGGGAGGGGGTGCAGGCTCTGGGCAGGGCTGAGCGGTTCGGACTGTGGGAGTGGGCTCTGGGCTGAGCCTTGGGCAGAGGGTTGGGATGCAGGAGTGAGGGGTGCAAGCTCTGGGAGGGAGTTTGGGTGCAGCGGTCATATGGTCACACTGTACCTAATCTCATAGAATCCACTGGACATTTCATGAGTTTTACTTTTTGTTAGTGTCATTTGTGGTTTATAGATCCAAAATCCTTCAGGGACTGTCACAAATCAGTGTAACATTCTCAACTGTGGGGTGTCCAGGCTGGGGAGGAGTGTCTGGGTGGGGCAGGGGGTTGAGGTGCAGGCCGGGATGCAAGCTCTGGGAGGGAGTTTGGGTACACGAGGGGTAGGGTGACCAGACGAGAAGCCAAAATATCGGGACCGCCGGAGCCTTTTCAATTGTTACACTCACCCGTCCGAGTCTTCAGAGGCATTTCGGTGGCGGGTAATAAGCCTTGCCGCCAAAGAAGGAAGTACCCTCCGCTGAAATGCCGCTGATACCCGAATGTGCCGGGTGAGTGTAACAATTGAAAAGGTGCTCCCCTGCCTGTCACCATCGCCCCGAGCAACAAGAAAAAAAAAAAAGCCCGAAACAAAATATCGGGACAATTGGCGTCCCGACCATACTTCGCTCGGGACGCAAGACAAACTGCTCGATATCGGGACAGTCCTGATTTTATTGGGACGTCTGGTCACCCTTACGAGGGGGCTCCGGGCTGGGGCAGGGAGTTGGGATGCAAGAGGGGGTGCAAGGTGCAGGCTCCAGCCGGGAGGCGCTTACCACAGGCAGCTCCCGGTCGGCTGCCTGCCTGTCCTGGCCCCACACCGCTCCTGGAAGCAGCTGGCTGCTGTAGCGTCTCTGCTCTCATGTCCATGCACTGCCTGCACCCACAAGCGCTGCCCCTGCATGGCAGGGACAATGCTGGGGGCGGGGGCAGCGCACAGAGCCGTCTCACTCAGACACACACATCCCCGGGGCCACAGAGATGTGCCAGCAGCCAGCCGCTTCCGGGAGTGGCATGGGGCCAGGGAAGACAGACAGCCTGCATGAGCCCCGCTGCGCTGCCGGCTTCTGGTGGCCAGAGATCGTGATCAACTGGCAGAGGCTCCAGGATCGACCAGTCGATTGCGATCGACCCGTTGGTGACCACTGATGTAGACTATGCTTTGTATTAAGGTTTTTCATTTGAAAAACACTTGATTCTTATTTTGGCAAGTTATTTGAACATATTAGAGTGTGCTTGATTGTTCAAGTTTTGTTTATATGTAACCTTCTACTGAAGATGTTATAGGTCCCCTTCTGAGCCAATCTGCAGAGAATTTGAGTTGTTTCAACCGTCATCTGGGAAGCCTTGTCTCTTTAGCTCAACCTATACTAGTTCAATCTTTTAGCTCTGGAAGTGCTTGGTACAGCCCCTGCTGTGTTGGCTAAGATAGCAGCTGTCACACATACATTCATGATTATAATGTTATACTTACTTTGGGCTCAATTCTGTCCTCAATTACGTAGTAAAACACCTATTGATTTCAATCTGAATTAAACTGAGGGGCAGGGTTGATTTTGTTTATACTGCGAAATATGCTGTTTAATACCTTCTCATACAGCCTCTTAACTTTTTTCTGGAAAATAGCTTTGTTTGGAGACTACTGGCAAGAGATGTTGAAAACTAATGTGAATTAGTGGTTAAGAATCAAATTCTGTTCTAACAGCTTTTAATACTGTTGTACCAGTGTGAAATGAGAGAAAAATTTGGGTATGTATATCTGAATTATAGTTTAACGTTAATGAACAGTATTTTTACAATACATTGTTTATCAACTGTAGATAGAAAAACTTAGGGTTCAATGGTGATTGGCTGAGTGATAATTGTAAAGAATAATTTATTTGATAAATTTTGCCTCTTTATGTTTGTGAATTGCCTGCAAAAAGACAATGAACTGACTGTGAACAAATCTATTCTTGATTTCATTCATTATTCAGAGTTATTCACTACATCATTCTGCAGTAATTCTTAGTCCATGGCATTGTTCATGAGCAGTTAGTTGTGAGTATTAAATATTATTCTGATTGGACAGATAGGTCATGTGGTATGTTTCCTGACTTGGATGAGTGTAAGTCTTAGAATCAGGTAGTGAATTATTATAAGCTTGGAATTCACTTCCTGGAATTCAGGATTCAGTCCCAAAGTAGCTCAGAAGGTAATCTATGACACCAATTTCTGTTCAATTAGTAACATAATCTTTTTTCCCTATGCATTGCTTCATGGATCTGTGTGGATACATATGGATCTTTTAAAGATCTGTTTTACAATGTTTCACTAGTCCATTAGAAACTGCTGGTGCCAAAGCAGAAAAGAGAGCTCTAAAACAACTGACAGGCAAGGATGCAATCATATTAGTGAACACAAAAATAAAACATCTTTAAAATGTACCGAGAGTTTGACAAAAAAACAGTGGGATAAGGAAATTTAACGTAGACGCTAAAACTCTAGCATTAACCTTTTCTCTTTTCCTAGGTATTGTAGACCAAAAGATACGTAACAGTATGCGTAGATCTGATCCTCTTTTAATACTCCCATGTAAAGGGCTAAATGAAACATCAGCTTTAATTTCTGAACATTCTTGATTTTATTGTAGGCCCCAAACCTGCAAAGAGCTCTGCATAGATGGAGTCTTGTTCCACTGGGAGCTCCTTGCAGTGTCGAGGTCTTAAGATTTCATCCTACAGTCTTTGCTCAGGCAAAACTCCCACTGGAGTCACAGGCTTCACAGCCCTAACTGTTAATTAAATGTATTGCTCTGTGTGTTGCATCTTTTTCTAATATTGATTGTTAAAAACAAGAGGAAACGCTTTTGTCATAAATGTGTGACAGCTGGGATAATAGAGGATGACTCCAGGGCATTAAGCTGTCCGTTGTAAATACATATTAATGGACTTTAAAAAATGCAAGTAATGTCATAAATACATTCAGAACTTTTATAATGCCTATTATTGACCCACTCCCATGAGCCACGTTAGCACAGTTGTAGAATTTGTCACTTCCCCTCTCTTTTTTTATGGGGGGAGGGTCTGTTGCTTACAATGTGTTTGTATAATGCCTAGCACAAATGGGGCCCTGAACTCAACTAGAACTTCTAGGTGCTACTGTCATTTTACTACAGTTATGACTACTGCTACAAATCAGTTACTAATAGACCCATGGGTGTTGCAAGTATGTTGAAAAGTACACGCTATCTGATATTAACTTGCCCTCACCCTGTGAGAAAGGGCCTTTGCGAGACTCCTGTGATCTTCTCACCAGGGAAAATGCTTTGAAAACAGCTACTGCTCAGTGCAATCTGATGCATTCTTCTTGGGCTCAGTCCAGCTCATACTGAAATCAACAGCTGTTTTTCCGCTAACAACTTGATCAGCCAGGGATAAGAGTAATTTGTTTTTAGTATTTAAAGAAGGCATAAACTCCACCAGAAGCAGCGAAATATCTTTCCTTTGCTCATTCTCTCTCCCCTCCCCCCATTCAAGCACTTATCAATAAATAGTGAATATGACCAATTAAGTCTCTGATCATGCAGTGATTTAGGCGTGTGGTTAACTTTATGCACTATGGACCAGATTTTTAAAGATTTTTACGTGCCTAAAGCTGCAGATATGCCTTAGTGTGAATTTTCAAATCCTGCTAGGTGCCTATCTGCATCTTTAGATAACTAAAATACCTTTAAAAATCTGGCGTTCTGGCCCCATTGCGGCAAAGTACTTAACCTATGAGTAGTCCCAAAGTCAGTGTTCATCCCAGGGTTGACCGTGACGAGCTAACACACATAGGTGGGTAGGTGTAACTTGAGCTTGGGCAGTTATTTGATCTGCATGCATGTGCATGCAGGCATGCACACACACTCACACCAATATAAGGGACCATTGCAAAGCACACATCATAGCTTAAGTGGCAAATGCCTGGCTATACTTTTGAGTGTGGTATTCAGCTTATGAGAGAGGAAGGTATTCTTTCATTCCATAGCTGCCAATGAATTGTTGGTATAGTAATTATTGGCTGAAATAATAGCAAATCAACTCATGTAGTCATAAAATATTTAAACAGGACAAAAATTGCTACTGTGTAGATAGCACAATCTGTAGAAGAGTTTGAAACAGAAAGAGAAGGAAGTATTGTTTGTGAAGAGAAGCACCTGTCTAGTGGTTAAAGCACAAGCCTGAAAGTTGGGAAATTCGGGTTTTGCCACAGACATGCTGTGTAATCCTGGAGAAGTCACTTAATTTGTAGCTAGCAAGGGATTTGAAGGGCAACAAGAAGGGTTTCTTCAGGTATGTTAGGAACAAGAAGAAAGTCAAGAAAAGTGACTTACTGAATGAGGGAGGCAGCCTAGTGACAGAGGATGTGGAAAAAGCTAATGTACTCAATGCTTTTTTTGCCTCTGTCCTCACAAACAAGGTCAGCTCCCAGATTACTGCACTGGGCAGCACAGCATGGGGAGGAGGTGACCAGCCCTCTGTGGAGAAAGAAGTGGGTTAGGATTATTTAGAAAAGCTGGACGAGCACAAGTTCATGGGGCTGGATGCGCTGCATCCGAGGGTGCTAAAGGAGTTGGTGGATTTGATTGCAGAGCCATTGGCCATTATCTTTGAAAACTCATGGCGATCTGGGGAGGTCCCGGATGACTGGAAAAAGGCTAATGTAGTCCCCATCTTTAAAAAAGGGAAGGAGGAGGATCCGGGGAACTACAGGCCAGTCAGCCTCACCTCAGTCCTTGGAAAAATCATGGAACAGATCCTCAAGGAATCAATCCTGAAGCACTTAGAGGAGAGGAAAGTGATCAGGAACAGTCAGCATGGATTCACCAAGGGCAAGACATGCCTGACTAACCTAATTGCCTTCTATGATGAGATAACTGGCTCTGTGGATGAGGGGAAAGCAGTGGATGTGTTATTCCTTGACTTTAGCAAAGCTTTTGATACGGTCTCCCACAGTATTCTTGCCAGCAAGTTAAAGAAGTATAGACTGGATGAATGGACTATAAGGTGGATAGAAAGCTGTCTAGATCTTCGGGCTCAACAGGTAGTGATCAATGGCTCCATGTCTAGTTGGCAGCCAGTATCAAGCGGAGTGCCCCAAGGGTCGGTCCTGGGGCTGGTTTTGTTCAATATCTTCATTAATGATCTGGAGGATGGCGTGGACTGCATTCTCAGCAAGTTTGCAGACGACACTAAACTGGGAGGAGTGGTAGATACGCTGGAGGGTAGGGATAGCATACAGAGGGACCTAGACAAATTAGAGGATTGGGCCAAAAGTAATCTGATGAGGTTCAACAAGGACAAGTGCAGAGTGCTGCACTTAGGACGGAAGAATCACATGCACTGCTACAGACTAGGGACCGAATGGCTAGGCAGCAGTTCTGCAGAAAAGGACTTAGGGGCTACAGTGGACAAAAAGATGGATCTGAGTCAACAGTGTGCCCTTGTTGCCAAGAAGGCTAATGGCATTTTGGTTTGTATAAGTAGGAGCATTGCCAGCAGATCGAGGGATGTGATCATTCCCCTCTATTTGACATTGGTGAAGCCTCATCTGGAGTACTGTGTCCAATTTTGGACCCCACACTACAAGAAGGATGTGGAAAAATTGGAAAGAGTCCAGGAGAGGGAAAAAAAATGATTAGGGGGCTGGAGGACATGAGTTATGAGGAGAGGCTGAGGGAACTGGGATTGTTTAGTCTGCAGAAGAGAAGAATGAGGGGGGATTTGATAGCTGCTTTCAACTACCTGAAAGGGGGTTCCAAAGAGGCTGGATCTAGCCTGTTCTCAGTGATACCAGATGACAGAACAAGGA